AGGAACGCGGGTACGTCGCCCTTGCCCTTGAGAAAGGTAAACTTGCCAAAGGCCGGGAGAAAGATCGCGCGGTGCTGCTGCAGCTGGCGCGCAATGTACGTGCCGAGGCCGCGCCACACGGCTGGCACGTGCGGGGCCAAGCTCTGATTGTACTCGAACGGCGACGCCTCGAGCAGCTTCTGGCACTCGGCGAGCAGCCCGGCCGGTGCACCCATCTATCGTCGAGTCGGCGTGCTCGCCTTTTTTCGTACCCGGCTAAATTTAGCGCTACCAGAGAGAAGAGAAAGGGCAGAAAAAGCGCGGGCCGATAAACTGAGCGTGGCGCGCGTGGGTGGCTCGTCCATGCGGCCGGTCGGCTGTGCACGCCGGTCGAGACTCGAACGCACTCTTGGTTTGCCCTCGATCTTCCCACACCACCTCCATTATGCAACTCTACCTTGCGACCCTCGCGCTCAGTCTCGCCAGTATCGTCGATGCGCAGCCCATCTCGGCCATTGGGTACCCGGGCAACCTCTTCTTTGCGCAAGCGTCGAGTAGCGCGATCGCCCAAGCGGGCACGCTTCAGCACGCCAAGAGCAACTTTGCCAACCACGCCGACAGCAACAGCGGCAACGTTGGCATCGCCAAGTCGCTCGTGATCGACAGCAACCACGCAAGCCAAGAAGCCAACGACCGCGGCTACCAAGACGCGACAGCACAAAAGAATGCGCTCCAGCAGAGCCAGACGCGCACGGGTGCGAACGGCGCCGTTCTCTCGCCGTGGGTGCGCCACCTCCTTGGCAACTGCGGCGGGTTGGGCTGTGGTGGCGGCTGTTTTGGCTGCGCGGTGCCGCCATCGGTCTTGTCGGCCGCCAACAAGCAAGCCAGTGCGCTCAACCAAGGGGGTACGTACAACGAAGCGAACCAAGGCCGCGCCTCGGATGCCCGCCAGCACGCCAATACGCAGCAAATTATCAAGCGCGACATTAACCAGAAGGGCTATGCCAACGCCAACGCCAACTCGGAGTCCAATGCACACGCGCTCTCCAAGGGCAACTTTTTCGCGGCCAACAACATTGACCAAAACCAACTCGTGGTCCAGAACCCGGGTCTCTTCTTGCGCCGTGCCTAGTTGCCATGGCGTGCGTCAACTAAGATCTTAGCATCGCTGATTGTGCAAACTCGATTGAATGGACGAAAAATCTATTTTTAGCAATTGTGTCGAAATTGCGTCGGCGTCTTTTGGCGGACATTTGCGACGACCTATTTGTTTTTTGCAAACGCCATGCAGCGAGCCGCGTGGGTCGATGCCCACTGCCACCTCCAGGACCCGCGTCTTGACGCCAGCAGTAGCGACGTACTCGCTCGGGCTGCTCGGGACGGCGTCGTCGCGATTAGCTCGTGCGCCTGCACCGAGGCCGAGTGGGCACGTTGGCCTGCGTTCGCCGCGGCCCATGCCACAACATCCGTGCAGCTCCTGCCGGCCTTTGGTATCCATCCGTGGTTTGCCGGTGACGCGTCGGCGTCGTACTTGAGCGCATTAGAGGCGACCTTGCGGCTGCATCCCACGGCCAGCGTACGCTCGTCTTCCCCATGACCATACCAGCGTATCGTTCGTTATTTGTCCTAGGTGGGCGAAATTGGGCTGTGCAAGAGCCGGCGTGGGGCTGCCGTGCCCATGGCGATCCAAGACGCGCGCTTCCGTGAGCAGCTGCAGTTGGCGGCTCGCCTCGAGCGGTCCGTCGTGGTGCATTGCGTTGGCGCGTACGGCAAAGTGCTGGATGCGCTCACTCAGATTCCGCAACCGCGGCCAGTGGTTTTGCACTCGTTTAACGGTGCGACCGAGATAGTTCGGTCGTTCGCTCGTTTGAAGCAGACGCGCGTCTACTTTTCGATTGCGACCAAGCTCATGGGCACCGAGAAGGCCACCGAGATGCTGCGCGCGATCCCAATCGAGCGACTGCTCTTGGAGACAGACTCGCCCGACCAGCTGCCGCTCGAGTTGGCACACGAAGTCGAGCTGAACGAGCCAAGCGTCTTGCCTCGCGTCGCCGCTGCGCTTGCAGCAACTCTGCAGCTGCCGCTGGAAGCGCTCGCGGCGCAAACAACCAAGAACGCTCTCGAGGCTTACGGCGTCGAAGAAGGGTGCCGTCAATAGAGTATTGGTGGCTAAGATTATGGCGAACGACCGAGCGAGCGCTCTTCCTCCGTGCCACTGGACTCGCTGCGACCCGATGCCAACGCATACGAATACGCCTTCCCTTGGCACATGTGATCGATCTACCATGCGGATCTTGTCGCCATGACCAGCTCATACCCGCTTCTTGTAGACATCAATTCGAATCTAGTATAGGTATAGCTAAATTAGCCTAGGCTCTTCGATGGACAGGTTGTCATCGTGCAAATATACTTGTTCCGGACAAAAGGTCCTTGTGCAGGCAAACAACTGCAATTCCACAGACGGCATGTCCTGTCGAAACTTATTTTTCACCAAGCCTCTAAGACTCGATATGATATCAACTCCCGAAAGGAGTCCCAGTTTTTTGTCCACCAATTGCCAGCGCGATGAGCGGGCCGAGGTGCGTCGCTGCCGATGGAACTGGCCGGCGCTCATGGCTTGCGTAGCCAAGATGCTGACATCATGCCCTCCTTCTTCCTCGACCCGAGCGGCCACTTGGTGCACGATAAGGCGTCCGAGGAAGACACGACCAGCCCCGTCAAGTCGACCCACGCCTACATGCCGCTCCAGAACTACCAGACGCCATGGGAAGGCAATGGCCTCGACCACCAGTACCAGTCGCTTCGCCGGCGAAATGGCGCTGCGGCTACAGAGCCGACGTCCACGTCGATTCCTACGGTGCGCCTCTATTCTCGACATGCATGGGAGCTCACCACCGTGTTCGGGACAGGCGTCGCTCTTTGGATCGCTCTCGGCGCGACTCGACCAGGCGAGGCCAGTGGACAAGGCGACTGTGGCGACCACACAAAGCGCCTTTTCGTTTCCGAGCCTCAAGGCGCAAGAGTGGGGCGTCGACGAGCAGTACTGGATCACGGTGTTTGGCTTCTCGGCCGTCGACATGGAGGCCATCTTGAAGCACTTTCAGTCCATGGGCGATGTACGTCTCGTCGAAACTGATGTCTTCTTCTCTAGCTCATGCATCGTCGATCTTCCTAGGCGGTGCAGTATCGCTACGGGCGCGGCAACTGGCTGTACGTGCGGTACCGGACGCGTCTCCAAGCCGAAAAGGCGCTTGGCGAGTCGGGCTCGACGCTTGGCGGCACCGTCATGATTGGCGTCAAGCGCTGCTTGGTGTCGGAGATGGATGCGGACACGCCGGCGCACCAAGGCAGCACGTCGTCGACGGCGCCGTCGCCGCTCCTCTCGCGCGAACTGCAAGTCGCGCCAAGTGACGACGACTTTATGGAGCCGCCGCGCCGCCAGACCAACTTTTGCTCGCGGCTGCTCCGCTTCCTCTTTAACGTGTAAATCCTCCTCCGACTGCATTGCGCACAAGTCCGTCCCGCGTGTCGTTTCGCAGCATATACTTACTACATCCTCAGCACCGATTAGACGTGCGCGTCGTCTTCGTCGTCTTCGATCTCGTCCTCGATCTCGTCCTCTAGGATGCCATCGCCAGGCGTGTCGTCGCTCAAGAGCGGCTTGTGCAGCGACGAGAGCACGCGCTTGACCTGGTCGGCGCGGTCGACGTGCCGCCGCAGAATGCGGGGCGGGCGCCACACGAATGTCGAGGGCGACCGCGTCGAGTAGTTGTACGAGTCGGTCTCGGGCTCGGCCTCGTCGTCGTCGAGGCCCTTGAGCCGGCGGCAGAGTCGCCAGCAGCGCGCGCAGTGCTCTTCCTCGAGCTCGCGGCGGGTGATGATGCCCCGGACGTTGTTGTGGCGGTTGACGACAATAAGGTGGCGCAACCCGGAGCTGCGAAAGAGACGGTACGCACGCGTGAACGGTGCCTCTTCTTGGACAACGAACGGCGTCTGGTTCATGTACGGCGTGAGGTCGACCCACGCGTCCCGGTGCGCGTCAAGCAGCGTGTACGAGGGGCCGTTGGGCGCATCGACTGGTGCCGGGTGCGGGTAATGCGGGTAGTTGGCCTCCATGTCCTTGTAGCTCAAGCAGTCGGCGTCGGTTGAAGCGGATGAAGCTGTTTTCGGCGGGTGGCGTGAGAACGGCGTCGGCTTGGCAAAAGAAAAGTCGCGTCGTAACAAGAGCACGTCGAGCTGCTTGCGCAAGATGACGCCGGCAAAGAACTTGGCGCCGAACGTCGGGTCCTCGACGACGACGGGGAAGCCATTGTGCGTGGTATGGCACAAGAGGTCGTAGATCGCTCCTAGTACATATTACGTCAAAGGGAGATACAATCGCCACATCCACGCGGCCGCACCGGCGCGCTCGACCGTGCGAAGGCACTTGGGATGCCGTGTCATGACATGCTTGACGCGGAGGTGCGATCCCTGCAACGGCGGGTCCCAATCCAGAAACGGAATGTGCCGCAAGTGAATGTGGATGTCGTAGATGCCGTGGTTGAAGTAGTTGCCGACCCACCGCGCCGAGAAGAGCGTCACGATGAGCGGGAGACCGTACTCGATGTTGCCTACGCCACTACATTGACGTATCGATCCATAATCCAAGCAGGGGGTACCTGTGCACTCGAGGAGGATGACTGTGAGCGAGATCGTCATGCGTGTGACGCCGCCGAGCATAGCAGCGCTGCCAATGAGCCCATACACGCGCGGGTCGATGGTCTTGGCATGCAAGGCAGCCGTGATCGCGTTGATGATGCGCGTCCAGAGGCGGCCGTACGCCGCGCCCGTCAAGAGCGCGGGGATGAAGAGACCGCTGGGGACCTTGAGGCCATACGTCCAGCACGACGCAAGCAGCGAGAGGCCCCAGAAGAGCACGAGGTTGTTGACGTCAAACGTTTCGGGGGGCGCATGAAAGAGGTGGCGGATCGCTGTCTCGCCCGGCGCCAAGAGGAGACTGGCCAAGTCGTTGTAGTACTCGGGCGGGCAGTAAAACCGGACAAGGTCGTGCGTATACGGGTACTCGTCGTCGTCGGTGATGTGGTGCCACGGCAAGAGCGTGTTCTTCCACCAGGACGAGTCGAGCGGTGCCACCGGGGTCTTGGGCGATACGTGGCACGTCCCAAAGGTGAAGCTGATCCAAAAACACATGCAAGAGATGGCGCCCGAGATCACCATCGCTTCGAGCAGCCACACGCATTTGGTTTGGATCCAGCGGGCGCGAAACCTAGATTTTTAGTTGACGCTAGGGATAGGTTTCATCGGTGTACCGGGCCATGCGCGTGTTGAGCGCGTTGAAGAAGGCGCCTTGGACGCCACCGCCTGCGCCCATCAAGATGAAGATCGGGATCTCCCACACCTGGTACGTCGAGAGCGTGAACGGGCCAAAGGTAAACGTGCCCGACTGCGACCCGAGCGTGCCCCACGAGTGGCCGGCCTCGTTGCCCATACCCGAAATGAAAAACGCGAGCGTAAACGTCGACACCATGGCGCAAAAGAGCGTGCGCCACGTGAGCGTTTGGTTCCAAAACGAGGCGCCTAGGGTGTATTTTTCGTTGAATTTTGGTTGATTTTCAGTCGATTTTGTGGATTTTGTCGAGTTTTGCATGTGGCAGGTAGTACCTTCTTCCAGGACGAAGAGAACGCCACCAATGGGCGCACCAAAGGCCGCGGCGACGCCGGCCGCTGCGCCGCATGAGAGAAAATCGCGCTTCTCGCGGTCGTTCCGAAAGCCCGCAAAATAGGTAAAACTACGCGTCAAAGTCCATGGGACGAGGATGAAACAATGCGGGACCTGGTATCGTAGCCCCACGTCGACGACTTGCCCTGGGAGATACCTGCCGCAATGATCGCGCCACTGCCACGCGTTGTACGTTTGATGTCGGAAGATGCAGGTGTGACGAACCTATGGATCATCGGCCCTTCCTTGCCGACGGGCAGCCCGCCCGAGACGGCGCAGATGGTCCCGAGAAGCTTGCAGCACAGCGTGCGAAAGCGCAACATGCGTGGAATCTTGACGCCGTTGAGCATCGACTTGATCTCCGATATACCTACGCAGTCGCATCAGCCGCGTGGATGGAGTTGATGAGAACGTGTACCTGAGCCCGCGGCCACGGGCTCGCCAAAGATCGTAAGCGCCGTCGCGAGAAGGACAAGGGCCATGTTGAACCCTAGCACGACGCCAAAGACGAGCGTCGGTGGCCCAGCCGTGATGTAGTGGTCGATGAGGTCGCGCTTGACGTGCGCGAGCGTCTGCGTGCAGAGGAGGAGGACGATGCCGGTCAAGGCCGTGATGAGCCCCGCGACGAGCGTGAGGACCCAACGCACGACAATCGATCGGCTCTTCTCGCGGCCGTCGCGGTACTTGTAGCCAAAGCCTACATGGCCCATCCTGCTTGCCTCGATGTCGTCGCCATCGTCCATCGTACCCGACTTGTTGACGACGCTCTCAAACATGTCTATGGACGCAGCATACCATGAGCATCGTCGTCCTTGCAGGTCGCATGCGCCTACCGTAGTCGAGGCTCTCCATCTCCTTGGCGGCCTGCTGCATGGCGCCGGATGCTGCGCAAGAGAGGCTCTTCTTGGATCTGCTGACGCTGGTCTTGGCCAATCCGAACTTCGAAGAAGAACTGTCAGCCAATCATATCGCGCCTCTGTCGTGACGCCACTTGGTTTCACAAGATCGAAGCGTCGTGTGGAAGCAGGATGGAGCCGACGCCCGTGAAGCTCACGATGCAGCTCATCCGCAAGAGCATGCAGCTGCGCCCGGAAGCGGCGATCGACGATGGCCTCGCCGTAGAAGGCGACGAGTACGAGCGAACATGCATCGTGGCAGGCGATGCCAAGCATGCTGCTAGGGTCGACCACCTCTTGACGCGCAACGTCCTGCGCCTCGACTGGCTCGACATTAGCAAGATCGAAAACCTCGACGCGTTCACGCACATCCGCGAGCTCTACCTGCAGCACGTACTTCAGCGCGATCTGCATGACCAGCGAAACTCTTGCATTCTGTAGAATGCAATCCAAGTGCTCGAGAACCTCGAGCTGCATACGAACCTCAACTTCCTCGCGCTCTCGCACAACCGCATCTCGACGGTTCGCTCGGATATTGCGACGTCGAGTTAATGGCGCCCTAGGTGGCCAACATCGCGGGCCTGACCAAGGTACTCTCGTCGTCTCATGGAGCTATTCATTGAGAGCGCTGTAGCTCAAGTTTCTTGACCTCTCGTTTAACGACATTACAGCCATTGACCTTGGTACAGTGTGCAACCTACCAGCGAAGATGAAGCGAACGGAATGCTAGACGAGCTCCCGCGCGGCTTGCGTGTTCTGCGGCTCGCCGGCAACCCGTGGGTAGATGCCACGGCCAACTATGCCGAGCTGTGCTTTGACCGTCTTCCCCATCTGCATGTATGGACAGTCCTTTGACAGCGAGTCGAGGTGTACGATGCCGACTTTCTAGACATGCGATGGGTATTCGCGCAACGTGCCCGCGCCACAGAGCCCACCCCACACGCACCGGGATCGCCACGCAGCGCTGGCCGACGACACGCGTAGGCCGAACCAGAATGCATTGCCGCTCACAGGTGGTCGTAGTCTTCCCGGCCGCGACGCCGCGGGACCAAGTCAAACAGCAAAAGGAGCAGTTGAGCCAAGCTCATCGCAACAAGATGCAAGAGCTGCACGACGGCTTGCAGCACGTACGACACCCTGTGCGTGCTCTCTGCTGGGTGTTCACGTACCTCTGCTCATAGACGCGCAGTGCCATTGTCGAGCAGTCCATGGATCGGCTCCGCGAGAAGCGCAAGAAACTCCAAAATGAGACGCAAGCGCACTTGCACGCAGCAGCGGCGCACGTCGAGCAGCTCCATGCGCAACACGCTACCTGGCATAAAGAGCAGCTTCAAGCCCACCAAGCATAGATGAGCATGTCACATACAGTAGTGCATTTCAGTGCTTCATCTGAGCAAAATTCATATCTAATTCGCCTTGGCTTTTTTGGGCGCGGGGGTGGCGCGTGGCGGACTTTGACGCGAGACAGCAGCGACGACGACGACGACAAGGGCCGTCCAGAGCAGCCCCGCAAGGATGTTCCAGTCGCAAACGCCCTGCAGCGGGTACATCAAGCACATGGAGGGCTTGGTCGAGACGCTGCCCGCGTCGTTGTCGTCCCATTGGACGTGCGCGTGCGCCTCTCTGGCTTCCATGAGCTGTGCGCGGACCTGCTGCTTGATGCGCTCGTCCATCTCGGCTTGACTAGGGTACCGCGAACGAGCCCGACGCGGCGGTACGTCGTAGTCGTCCTCGTCGTCTTCATAGACCACGCGCCGGCGCTGCCCCCGCGCTCGCCGCGGCGGTGCTTCATACTCGTCATAGATGTCCTCGTCCTCATCGCGGCTTGGCGCTTGGCGGTACACCTGCCGGCGCTGGCGGTGATCGCGGTGTGGCTCGTGGAAGCGCTGCGGCGGTTGTTCTTGCCGTTGGTGTTGACGCGGTGCAGGGTCGTGGTATGCTACCGTAGGCTTTGTCGGCGGCGCCACGCACTCGTCATTCTCGTCGCACTTGGGCTGATTGGGCGCTTGGGCCCGCTGCACTGGGTGGAATCGCGCCTCCATGTCCCGCATGGCCTTCTCGGCGGCGTCGAACTCTTCGAGCATGAGGCGCTGCATCTCGTCGTGGGCGGCCGCGATGTCCGGGTGCTCCTTCTGGAAGATCTCGATCGCCGAGAGCGTGCTATCGAAGACGACGCCGTCGTCGCCAAGCTCGCTGCTCATGGCGCCGGCCATGGCCACGGCCAGCAGCGCGGCAAGGATCCGGTTCGTCCGCATTATCGATTGCAAAGTGCGATCTTTCGAATCGCGATCCAAGAAATGCATCACGTCGTATGATTGGTTGAAAATCGACTCCTTCTATGTTTTTCGACGAATCGCGTTGCAGCACAGGTTGCACTTTCTAAATTCGAAGCAGTGGCGCAGACCGACTGGGCAAAGGCGACGGCCTGGACGAGCGAGCATCTCGCCAGCGCTGGCGCCGCACGCCTACAGCAAACTATTGTCTTTTGATGACTTTGTAAGGGTAGAATTCCTTTCAAGGACAGATACGGATCATACATTTAGTACCCATGGAAGCTGTACTGGACGCGTCGGTAGGCTCTGGAGATGCGAAGAAGAGGACGTAGTGTCTATGACCAACCCAATTTGACCGCTCTTGTCGGGCACTCGAAGTGAAATGCGTCGCGATAGAGCAAAGTGCTAAGCTGGAGTACGCTATGAATGGATTCTTCACGACCTTACACGGCTATCGAGCGACTGAGCGCTCGCCTCGAAACACCACGTGGCACCTTTCCGCAGCGCCATCGTCTCGAGCTCGTGGCGACGGACCCCTAGTCTATCGCCGTCCACGTCAGAGTTGACGCTCACATTCGTGCTCGTCGCAATGGCTTCCAGAAGGCGCTTCCAGCCGCGGTATCCGAACGAGAGCGACGCCAGATCCAACGTAAAGTGCTCGGGCGCATCGACGAAGCTCAGTGCCATCGCAAGCGTCGACATGGCGTCGTCATCCAAATCGCAGGCTTCGATGGCCACGGTGTGTGTACACCTCGAATCCAGCGCCGCAGTGCGCGGCCAAAAACGTTCAAGTGCTGCGCGATGGCCCTGCAGCTTGTCCAGTCGACGGCATCGAGAGCTTCCGAGCGCGCGAGCCACTCGACAAGATGTTCAAACACACCGTCCACGAACGCGACCGACTCGAAGCGGGCTTCCCGTAGCGTTGGCGAGGTCGTCGCGAGGGACGGTCCATGCAGCGTGACGTTGCACAGCGAGAGCTCGTCCAGCGCGGTCAACGACTGCAGGGCTGCCAGACTGCAGTGCAGATCCCCGGCGTCGGTGCCAGTGAGTCGGAGCTCCCTAAGCTTGGACGCATCGACCAGTGACAGAAGGATGTCGATGTCGCCTTGGTCGAGCGACGACTCCATCGCGAGGTGCGTCACAAAGTGCAGCGGTGTCGCATTTGCCCCAAGGCGGCGCAGGAGGCTGTTGCACTCGGTCAAGTCGAGGCTCGTGAGGCTCGGTGCCGTTGCGAGCGCCCGCGCGACGGTGTCGGCGTGTGTCGAGCTCGAGTCCATTCCGCAGATGCCCACATGCATCGCATGTCCTGATGCAAGCCACGGCAGCAGCACCGGCCAGTCGACTCCGTCCAAGCTCAGGTCCAGCCGCGTGACGCGAAATGGCGCCGTCAGGAGACTTGGCAGCACACCAGCGTCGCCCGAGAGAGCCAACGAGCGGACGTTAGTGCACAAGTAGAGCAGTCGGTGGAGCTCGTCGTCGACGTCGCCAGTCGTGCAGAGCTCGAACTGCTCGACCTTGGTGGCCCACTCGGCCAAAAACGCGCAAAACGGGCTCGCAAACGACGAGGACGCTGACGCGCTGCGCCAGGCGTCGCTGTGCGAGGGGCTCTCGATGTGAATTGAAGGGAAGACGGGCATCGCCGCCATGATGAGAGGAATCGTGGCGTCGTCGATGGCGCTGCCGAGGGCGGGCCGCGGCCAGACGCGGGCGCCGCAGGCGAGGAGCTGGAGAAGCGCAGCCAAAGGCGGTGTGCGCGAAGTCCGTGGCAGCGCGTCGAGAAATGCGGCCACGTCGGAGTGTGAAGCGAAGCACTGGACGATGCAGGTGAGCGCACGAGGGGCGTCGACGACCGAGGTCGGCGCTAGATGCACACGCTTGGCCATTCCAGCGTCTCTGAAATCTAATTGGACACAAATGCGATTTGAGATCGACACAAATCGAAATTGCGTCGTCCTATACTGGGCAGCATTCCATCGAACTGGCGTATTCGGCAAGGTGCGACTATGTGTCTACTGTCGTCGACTTGCTGGTGCTGCATTTGGTGCGACGCTGGCGTCAACTGCTTCGCGACGTAGTGTGGTAGCGTTGGTTGGATCGTATGGAAATACGCGACCAGGAGACGATCCTCGATGGGCTATTGCGACGATACTACGCTGCCACGTATGGGGAAATTAACGCGGCGAAATCTAATTTGGTGTTGAATTACTTTTCTACACGGGCAATCAACGCCTTGAAGATATTTTCGGGGCCATTGGCTTTTTGGAGCCGGCCAGACCGAGCGTGGCAGCCAGCACACCCGAGCGATGCAGCCGCGGAGAGTACAAAAGCGCGCCGCCTCATGGACTATTGACAGGACGCAGCGTCGCAGGTCACGCTTCTCCAGCGAGCGATACAAACACCAAGTACACGCAGCGCGGCGATGGCTTGAACGCCTTTCCAGCCCTCGGCGGCGCGAGTGATCTCGGTGCCTCAAAAAACGAAATCACATGTCCCTCTACGACCCGCTCTACCACCAGAAGCGCGCTGCAAAGCTCGCCGATGCCAAGTTGGCGGCCAAGAGGCCCTCATGCGTAAGCCAAGCCCGACGGCGGCCACGAACCAAGGTTCGCGTGCCACCGCGTTCGGGCGCAGCACGACCCCGACGATTGTCCGCCAGCGTGCGAC